CTCACTCTCCTGGGTCTCCACGGAGTTGGGAGGGGTGTGGAGTCGCTCAGCCTTCTGAGGAACTGCCATACTCAGACTCCTTTTTAAAAACTTCTTTCCAAAAGGCCAGTGCGCTGGTTCCATCATCATCTCTGCTGTACAGACGAGGTGAACGTGAGCTCAAGCCCAGGCTTGGCTTCCTGGAAGAGTGAGCGTGGAGACAGGAGGGGAGAGCAGGAGGGCCCGCGCCGGATGTAGGGTGGCCAGTGTCTCAGCAGGGACACTTGCCTGTGCTGGGGGGGTCAGTGTGGGCCCTCCTGTGCGGTCAGTGTGCCTCAGCGTCCTCATGTGTGAATGGACAGTGACAGCACCACCTCACAGGCCATGTGAGGATTAGCCAAGTCGTATGTTCGCAAGTGTCTGGCCATGGTTTTAGTTCCTCAAATCAGGCTCTGACTGACACCTCCCTGCTGGGGGGGTTTGAAGGCATCGCTGTGCATCGCCCTCCGTGGCCCGTGCCTTCCTTCTTAGCAGAAGCATCCCTTTCGCTTCTGCCTCCCTGTGGAACCCTCAGTGACTGTTTCTCTGTCTCAGAGCTTGCAGTGCGAGTGGAGATCGGAGAGGATGCCGGGGAGGACACGACGATGAGAATGGGCTGGGGCCAAGCGCTCCCGGGTCATGGTCGGGGTTTGGGGCCCAGCCTGACCAGACCCCAACAGGCTTTGGACAGAGCGGGGCCCCGCGGGGTCCTGAAGCCGCACACGTGTCCCGAGTGCGGCAAGGCCTTCAGTAAGACGTCCCACCTGACCAAGCACCAGCGCACGCACACGGGGGAGCGGCCCTACCAGTGCCAGGTGTGCGGGAAGCGCTTCGGCGACCGCTCCAACTGCAGCACGCACCAGAGGGTGCACACGGGCGAGAAGCCCTACGCCTGCGCCGAGTGCGGTAAGCGCTTCAGCCAGAGCTCCAGCCTGGTCATCCACCGCCGGACGCACACCGGGGAGCGGCCGTATGCCTGCGCCGAGTGTGGGAAGCGCTTCAACAACAGCTCACACTTCAGCGCGCACCGCAGGACGCACACGGGCGAGAAGCCCCACGCGTGCCTGGTCTGCGGCAAGGGCTTCCGCCGGGGCACCGACCTGCGCAAGCACCAGCGCACACACGGCCGGGAACAGCCCCCTCCCTGAACCCCGGGTCTCCAGGACGCCCCCTACCCCTCCCCGGGACCAGGGCCTCCTGTTTCAGGAAGCTGCCAGAGTCGTTTCTGTCCCAGAGCCAGCATCTCAGACTCCGTTTGTTCCCATGGGCCAGCGTGAGGACACTCAGTGGGGCATTTGGGGTGTCCAGGCCAAGGGAGGAAGCTGGACACCACAGGTGTGTTCACGTCTGGGCGGCCAGAGGACCACTCTCTGGGTGGCTTACACCACTGGGAATTTATTCTCTCATGGTTTGGGAGGCCATAGTCTTAAATCAAGGTGTCTGCAGGGCTGGCTTCTTCTGGAGGCTCTGATGGAGGATTTGTCCCACACCTCCCCTGGCTCCTGGAGGTGCCAGCCATCCTTGGTGCTCCTGGACTTGTGGCACATCACTCCAGCCCTACTCCCGTTTCCCATGGCCTCTTCCATATGCGCCTCCACATTTGTCGTCTCTTGCAAGGACAGTCATTGGATTTAGGGCACCTTTAATCCAGAATGACCTTATCGTAACTAATTACATCTACAAAGACCTTGTTTCCAACTAAGGTCACTTTCTGAGGTTCTGGACATGATTTGGGGGGACACCCTTCAGCCCCCTTGGGGGAAGGCTTAGTGGCTGCAGTTGCTTGCAGCTTTATGGACCCCAGCCTTCCCTGGGCCATCTCCCACCTTCCCCCACAAGTTTGCCACACTTTCAAAATGTAGCCAGGGTGGGTTTTCTGGTATCACAGTGGTGTTAGTAAGGAGATGGGTGAGTTGCAGGTCACCTTCACAGATCCAGGCTGTTCTGCAGGATGGCTGGCCGGTGTGGGGATGTTTCCCTGAGTTCCCACCTGCCAGCCTCTCCCAGCCCGCCAGGAAGCCCAGGGTTGTGGCCTCACCACTTTAGGGCACCAGGGCTGCCTTTGTTCCAGCCCAAGTGGCCATGTTCCAGGGCAGAGGCTGGCCTGGGTTGCCCCACTTTGTCTTTCTGAGGTGGATGTGCCTCTCTGACCTGTTCACATCCATAGTCTTGTGAGTGGCCGAGGGGAGCGGTTAGGGTCCTTGTTTGGGTCATTAGTGAAGTTGTGGGGCAGCTCTGAAATCACTGAGTTCCTTAATATTCCATCCAGGGACTGTTCATCCAATCACTGTATTTTTAGCTTTTCACACAACCCAGGTTCCAGGGTGTGTGACTTGCTCTTCTCTGTTCTCTTAATAAATGACGCCAGTTATTCTGGCCCCTGAGCTCTGTCTTGTGTGTTCCCTGGAGAATGGAGTCACCTCGTTTAGGGGTGGATTTTTTTCTTCTGGGGTAGCTCGTGGGGTACATAGTACCCAGCCAGAACCAGCCAGAGCGGCGTCACCAACCGCCCACCTTCCCCTCACAGGCTCACTTCTCTCATGTCCAGGCTGATGCTGGAGGTGTCTGCCCTTTGCCTGGCCTGAGAACTGGGCCCATCCCATGCCTGTTCCCTGATTCTCTCTCATGGTCCTTCATGATTCTCTTTTCATGGATGGAAACCGAGGCCCTGAGAGCTTGAAGAACCCTGTCCAGGTGGCAGAACCAGCTTTCAGCCCAGGTCTGACCTCCTGCCACCTCATCGTCCCAGCTTGCCTTGACAAACAGTAATTCAGAGAGTTGAACTTGAAACAAAGGCTTCTTCCTGTCACTGTTGGGGAAACTTTGTGAATGAACTTACTGCCATTAAAAGGAGTAGAGATGGGGGGATATGGAAATTTTATAAAATAGCCTTTGCCCCTGACAGCTGGCAGCTGCTGTGGAGGCTGTGTGCCACGTTTAGGCTGCTCTGCCCAGCACCTGAGCCCTGCCAGTGCTGTGTGTGCCCTGGAGTGGTGGTGGGGGCACCTCTGCAGGTGGGAGGGGGCCTTGGGCCCCCAGGTGATGGTAGTCTGGTCCTCGCCCCTGCAAGAGAGGCCCCTCCCACCCCCCCAGCCTCTTGTGGCCTTAGTGAAAGTCGTCTCACATCTGACTTACAATGTAAATGCCTTTGGGAGGGGGGCTGCTGGTGAGGCCCCTTGGCCAGATCAAGTGGAGTCTGTGGTCCCAACTTGGCTGCCGGTGGCTGAGGCTGGGCAGAGGCTGGATGGGAAGAGGTCCTTACCCACCCTTAGTGCACGGGAGCTGGCGGTGACTCCAGCTAAACTCTGGAACACGTGCCCAGATGCCAAGGACCCTGCAGGCTGCCTGATCCCATGGCCTGGTGGGCCTGAGATGATGGCTCTGCTCTTCCCACAGGGCAGATGGGGCTGAGGAGGACTGAGGCTCTGAGATACTGGAAACAAGCTAGAGAGAGAACAGAGGTGCCACAGATCAGGGCTCCAGCCTGTTGAGAGCAGCTGGGCTGAGAACAGCAGTTACAGAAAATTGAGGGCCTTGGGGGTAATACTAGTAATGTTGAGCAAGACAGCAAAGCCTTCTATGGCTCCCAGCTCTTGCTACTTATCCACAAGGGTAGACGCTGCTCCGCTGTCCACAGGGACAGGCTCAGCTGTTAGAACATTCACATTCTTCCTACAACTGAACGTCAATCCACCTTTACTTTGGAAGGACCTGAAACATGTATGTGCCTTTGTGTCTTGGTTAAACAAAAGTAAATTTCAGTGGACCCCTTTATCAGAAAGTCCACTTGGTCTCTGTGTGTGCGTGCGTGTGTTTGTGGTATTAATTTAGGAGCACAAAACAGCAAACATCCAGGACCCAGAAAATCAAGCTAAATTCTCTTTCAAGACCTGAAATTTGCTAAATATGTTTTACAGTTTAAAAAAAAAACAACTTGTATGTTGGAAGTAATAGATGCATATTAAACAGAAAAAATGCAGAAATGGTAAAAGGTGAAAAAGCCTTGTAGTCCCAGTATCAGAACAAAAGCACTGTCTTCATGCTGTTTCCTTCTGGTCCCTTTTCAGAGGGTTGGGGCCACTGGGGTTGTCATGCTGTGTGTACACATCTGTACTGGCATCTTTGCTCTCAGTGCATGAAAATGTTCTGACTGAATTCTCACAGGGCTGCAGATAGATCCACAGTTGGAAGGTCCCTGTGCTGCAAAGGTACGTTCCGATGGAAATGGGAGAGCGAGGGGGCCACCAGGGCCTCGGGTGTTGATGGAAAATTAGATCGTCTGCTCACCTTCTCACATCCATTACTGGAGGCATCTACAGTTGGCCCAGGGGAGGCGCCAGGGCCTCCATGACTGTCCCTGGCCCGAGAGGTTCCCCCAGGGCCCCGGGACTTCCTCCTGGGGGTCTGGCTTGGGCGCTCTGCCTCTCTGCCCGGAGTGTTACATGTTGCTTCCCCCCACACCTGAATTTGGCCGTATCCCCAGGGGCCTGAGCCTTCGGCTGCTGGGACCCTTGCCGGCAGGCAGCTCGGGCTGAGCCGTTGCCTTCCGAAATGCCCTGAGCTGCTGGAGAAGCTGACTCTTCCCGGTACAGTCCCTGTGACACAAGAGAAGCAATGTCCATCAACACCACGTGGAGCCGACCTCCTAATGCGTTGCCACAGAAACGGGACATGAGCAGGGGAAAGCCAGAGCGTGTCCGCTGCTCCTCAAGATGCTCAGAGTAAGGACTGTGGCTCCCAGTCCTTGCCGAGTCACAGAGCACGTCAGCGTGTTCTAGGCTTCTGGGAAGAAACCCGTGTGACTGTTCTCAACCCAAAGTTTTCTACCCTCCTTATTCCTGTAATGCCTGGTCACATATCATATTGGAGAAAAGCTGCATTAGACTCTGATGTTCCCAAAGGCTGTGATCCATGGGCTCTGCGGTTCCAAAAATGACAGAGACTGCAGAACACACGACACAGATTCACCCCGTGACCGCGGCGTGGCCGTGAAGGACTTGAGCCTTCCCTGAACTGGACGTTTCACTTAATTGACCCAGGCCTTTCGTTTCTGGCTAACAAGCATCGCTTGTTCCACCCCTGTACTTTCTCTCCACTTCCATTCCCATCGCTAGTAGGGGGCAAATCAATTTGAGAGCAGTTTTTCAGGAAGAATGTAGTTATCCCTTCTCGAGAGTGAGCTAAGGCGTCCCTGGGGCTGTCTGGAGGACAGCAAGCCAGGCCAGACGATGCTGGGCTACCCTCCCCACCGCCCAGAGCACCCCCCCGCCCCCACACCCCCTCCTGTGCTGGCCCTTTGGGTGCAGGACACAGAGCTGAAAGCACCAGAGTTAGCTGTGCCAGGCGGGTGCTTGCTGCTGAGGCAGAGGGGAGCATCCCCAGGCGGCGGGAGCCCCCTTGTGTTTACCGTAGCCTGGCCGGGCCCCGCTGGTCTCTCAGAGCTGCTGTCTCCTCTCCTCCCTCCTCCTCACTGTCAGAGGAGCTGGAGATGCAGCTGGAGCTGCAGCTGGAGTGGGAGCTGGAGCTGAGGGAGAGAAAAGGGGGTTGCCTGGACATGCCCCAGGCTGCCCCCAGACTTGGAGTGCCCAGGCCTCCCTGGTGACCCAAGACAGGAAGATGGGCCAGGCAGGCAAACCAAAGCCCAGACAGCTGAAACCAAAGGGCTGCTGGGCTTCCTGCAGGTGGTGGAGGGGCACAGCCAGGGCCAAGGACCCCAGCCTAGGTTATGCCTGCTTAGGGTTCTGCCTGGAATAATTGCCCTTTGCTCCAGCTCCTCCCTCGCTGTGGGGAGGGCCTGCTGCTGCAACCCAGTGGGACTGTGGGCCATGCTCAGTTCCCAGCTAAAGACACTTCTCAAGTGGGCCGTGCTCCCAGGACCTGCCTGCCAACATGGCAACGCGAAGCAGCGGGTTTGCTGCGGGGCTGTCACCGCTCACAGCCTTTGTGCTCCTACCTTCCCGAGGACCCCTGGGCTGATGGCTTCGTCAGCCGCAGATCCATGAAGACGGTGGGAGGCTCTGCTGGGCTCCTTAGCCGCATGTCTTCCGCCAGCCTCAGGCCCAACTCGGCGTGGATGCCCAGCCCCTTAGAAGCACTTCTGGGATGAGAGGAACAGGGGGCAGAAGTCACTTGCTAGTGATCACCCTGTGACCTGTGCTGGGCGCCCCTGTGCAGGACTCTGAGGCAGGTCCTGAGGTTTAGGCCAGGACTGCCCAGTAGAACTTTCATGATGATCAGACGTTCTGTATCTGCACTTTGCAGTATGGTAGACACTTGCCATAAGTAGCCATTTACATTTACATTTCAGCTAATTAAAGTTAACTTAGAAATTGTTTGTCAGCTGTACCAGCCACATGTGGCCAGTGGCTGCTGACCAGACAGTGCAGGCCTAGGCCTTTGTACTGGACATTTGGGTTGTCAGGGACAGAAGCCCGCTCCAACTAGCTCAGGCAAGGGGCTTACTGGCTTTCAGATTCCTCAAAAGAGTGGGACATCCAGAGTGTGAGAAGAGCAGGCGTATAGCTGGGCCTTAAGGGACCCCAGGGCCCTGTCCCCACCTCTGCCCATCCTGCCCCCCAACTTCAGCCTTTCTCACCATAGAAGGCCTGGCTGGGGTTGGATGCTCAGAGCTGGCCCGGTCAGTGGTGGCTGGAGAGGCAGGGCCCTACTCCGGGGAGGCTGTGTGGATGGTGAAAGGAGGGTTCCCATGGGGTGGGGAAAGAGCAGGTGCTTTGGGGCTTGAATCCCAGCTCTGCCAATTATGTCCTAGGCAAGTCAACTTCTCTGAGTCTCAGTTTCCCCATCTATAAAATGGGGGTAAAAGGAGAACCTACCCGATCACATTCCTGAGATGAAAGAAACACACATCAAGTGTCCCGCCCACAGTCGGCCCAGTAAATGCTGAGAGAAGCCAGTTCTAGAGAGGACAGGGGCCGTGGCTGGCAAGGAGTCCCACCTGCTTCCAGCCTCCTCCTGCTTGCTGTCCCGGGGCGTATCAGCAGGCACCCTCCGGGCAGAGGAAGAGGCTCTGGACTGCGCGGCACACAGGAGGCCGAGCTGTTCCATGAGCCTGTCCTGGGTGCTCAGCTCAGTGTGGTCTGCGGGGAGGGAAGACGCTGCTTAGTGGGGACACAGCCCCCCTTTGACTCACAGCAGCCTGAGCTTCAGGAGCCCTCACGGATGAGCCGGGCTTATGCACGAAGAAGTGCCGGGGAGCAGCCCTAGGCCCACCCAACCCTCAGCTGCTCATAGCCTTTGTGCGGCCCCACTCCAGCTCCGCAGGGCAAGGGGCACCGTGTCTTCATGAGCAGGGAGCTGGGTGTGAACCCTGGGAAGGAGGAGGCACCTCCTGTTAACAGTGTAGCCCACTTCCCCTCTCCGGTCCCACGTGTCAGAGGGAAGCATTATTAATAGTCCTGTGTGTTGCTTCTTAAAAAATGCAATAGGATCATCTATAGATTTTTTTTCACCGGTATATTTTACATCTTTCTGTGTTGAGATATATAGACTAGATGGATGGATAGGTTCGCCTCACTGAGTTGCAGAGAATTGTGGGTGGCTGATTAGCTAGGCTCCTGTTGAATCCTGCATTCGGGCTGTTTCCACTTTTTCACAGTTATAAACAATTCTGCAGTCAACATCCTTGACCCACTTGGGTGAGGGTGTGTTTAGGACAGCCTTTTCAAGTCTGATCGAAGGCTTATTATGTGTCTTTAAGTGGAGAACAGATCTGCCACATTTCCTGCCAAAAAAGGGGTGCCGACTCCAGTCCCCCAGACCTGCCCCACCTTGCAGGAGGGTGAGTTTCTCAATATCCTGCTCTCAAGGGTTAGATTACAAACAAAACCCCATTTAGGGGTTTGGGTATAGCTCAAATAGTAGAGCATATGCTTAGCATGCATGAGGTCCTGAATTCAACTCCTAGTACCTCCTCTAAATAAATAAATAAATAAATAAATAAATAAATAAATAAACCTAATTACCTCCCCCCAAAAATAAAGACAATTTTTTAAATTAAAACAGCACCAGGGGCTGTCAGCCACAAAGGAGCCTTTGCTCTGGAACTGGAGGCCAGAACCCCTACATTTCCTTTGCCTCAGACCTGCCTCCACTCGCCTTTTGTGGGCCAGAGGGCTGGGAGGGGACTGGGAACTTTATTTTACAAAACTGCTCAGAGCCAGGAAGGCCACACGTGCAGTGTGGAATCCCATCCCTGGCTTCCTCTGGTAAATGAGGAGGCAGTGGAAGTAGGATTGTGTTTAGGATCTGGCTGAAGGGGTGCAGAATTCAGGGTCACTCTGCTTCCAGAGAGAAAGAGAGGAAGGTCTGAGGAGGTGGGGAGGGGGGAAGTGCCCTGGGTTGAGGGCAGGGACTGTGTCTGAAAGGCCTCTCATATCCCCAAGGCCTGGCCCATCCTGGGATGGAGCAGGCAGTCATGTGTTTAATGGATGGGTGAGTGAGTGAATGAATTAATGAAGTCTTGGAAGCACTGGCAACTGGGTGTGCAGGCAGTGAGGGCCCAGCAGCAGAGAGGACATGGCGAGCTGCAGGGCTGCCTGTACCCAGCCCACAACCTGATTTTATTAGGGCGCTCTAGAAGGAGTTGCTGTGGGGGATGCACTTGGGCCCCCAGCATTCAAGGTCAGACCTTGGCCCTGGCAGTGGTTGGCTGCCCACCACGCGGCTCCAGGTGCACCGTCTCCCTGGTCGTCCTCTCGCCCTGTCAGACTCTGAAGGACCTGATCCAAATCCCACTCTTCAAGTTGCTGAAATAATTAAGGTGGTGATTAGAGGCTGCCGCAGGGCTCCGGGGGCATGAGCACCTAATTTCACAACTGCTGTGACCCCCACGGCCCCCGGAAGCCATCTTGGGGTGTCCTGGGCAGAGACCAGGGCTGAGAGCAGGTGACCGGCTCACTCACCCCAGTCCCAAGGATTGCAGAGAACCCCCTTGCCCTCCTTCAGGGTAGGCAAGTCTTACTTTTCTCGCCACCCACTCCCTATGCCTTTTTTGGGCAATACTTTTCTTTCTCGCACGAAGGCATTGTTTGACTTGGATGAAACCCAGTGTCATTTTAAAACTATTCAGGTTCATACAGGTTTAAAACATTGGGAGGTTAAAATGTTTTGCTTTTTGAAGAAACAGATGGTTCAAGGCAGGTAGGTGATGGGCTGGAGGCCTTGGAAGAGGGTGCTGGGGGGCAGTGGTGTGATGAGAGGGGGAGGACGTCAAACAGGAATTAATGTGTCTTCTGTGTGGCCTTGCAGCTCTTTGTAGCCCACAGGGGTGGGAAAATAAAAGGGTTCAGGAAAAAAATGGAGTTGATAGAATGGAATTGGGGAAAATGACCTCCACGTCCACCTTGATGTCAGTTTTCTCTAAGTGGTTAAAAAAATTGTCAAGATTTATAAATAAGGCCAGAAAGAGAATTTTGTGACATTCCAACTTCACGCAGGAGCATCTTCTAGGGAAAGGCTGGTTTGCGTGGTGGACTGGGGCTCACTTAGTTTACAATTTTGTACAACTGACAAGTGTGACAGCTTTCTTTTCCATCCAGTAGAGCAGATAACCCCAAAGGCACCAGTTCAGTTGCCCTGGAGGCTATGACCGATTTGTACTTAGCGGAGCAATTTAGTTTCTGCATTCCTTTCCTCTACTCCCCCTGCCCCATTTTACAAAATCCCAGCTTCTCTAATCTCTTTAAATCACCTTTGTCATCCTGCTGGTTCTCTTGTTTTTTTTTTTGCTGTGGTTGCCTATTTATTATTTATATGGTTCTCTTGTTAATGAGCTAAGTAAATACAATGTTCACAGGGGTTCACGATTTGTATGAGAATGAGAACTTGAATGTTTGGAAAACTATGCTTTGTCAAAGTCTGTTCTCTATTTCACATGTCTTTATGATCAGGCTTGGGATTCGGTTTTATTGTTTGTTTGTTTTCTGTTTTTAAAGAAGGCTGGGGTCTCTTTGCTCTTACTCATTCTCTTTCACTCTACTTCAGGATGGTCTGTCTGCTGGGACAACACACCCCTGAGACTGGTAGCACTGCCTGCCTAATGGTGGACCCAGTGCCACAGGCCCAAGGTCATTGCTATAGACTGAATGTCTGTGTCCCTCCAACATTCATGTGTTGAGATCCTAATCCTCAATGTGATGGTGTTTGGAGTTGGGGTCATTGGGAGGTGATTAGGTCATGAGGGTGGAGACCTCAGGAATGGGATTAGTGCCCTTACAAAGAGACCCCAGGGAGCTCCCTCACTGCTTCCAGATGAATCAGGGAGCATGCTCTCACCAGACATTAAATGGGATGGAGCCTTGATCTTGGACTTCCAGTCTCCAGACTGTAAGAAATGAACTTTTGTTGTTTAAGCCCCCAGTGTATGAGATTGTGTTATCGCAGCCCAAGGAAACTGACAGGCACAGTGGGCTGGCCCTCAAGTTGGCCCGGGGAGGACCCACGCCCCAAGGAAGCCTGGGCTGAGGGGACGCCTACCTGGAGGGAGAGCACCAGCAGTCCCTCCTGGGGCCGCTCTGGTGGCATCTCCTTCACTTGAGTCAGGTCACAGCAGGCTGGATCCCAGGCATCCCAGGTGACTTTGTGAAGTATGTCTTTCTCCATCATCTTCCTTCTCTCCCTCCGGAGGGCTCTGTGGCTGGCAGAGTCGGAGCCTTCCTGGGCCAGTGAGGCAGCGGCTGGGGGCTCCGTCTGCAGGCCTGCTTCCTGGGCAAAGAGGGTGGACTTTCCCTGTGGCCACCAGGGATTCTGCAATCCGTGGGTCTCCGCAGGCATCCTGAAAAGAGAGTGCAAAGGCCCAACACAGGCCCTTCCTTCCAGGGAGGCTGAATCCTGGGTCCCTGCGGTCCACTCCCTCCAGGCATCTGGGGTGGGTCCCACAGGCCACGCAGCTGGCTAGGGAGAAAACAGGCGTTCTCTGTTAGCAGCCTCAAAACATACCACAGGGAGTTGTTGTGGCGATAGAAAATGTATAGAACATAAAAATCTGCCATGTTAACCATTTCCTCTTTTTGGACCTCGTGCATGTTAACCATGTGCTCTACCACCGAGCTACACCCTCCCCCCAATCATTTTTAAATGTATAGTTCAGAAGTATCAAGTACATTCATTGAGTTTTGCAACAATCACCACTGTCTATTTCCAAAGCTTTTTCACCCCCCAAAATAGAAACCCTCCCCCAGCCCCTGGTAAACTCTCATCTACTTTTTGTCTTTATAGACTTTCCTGTTCTAAATATTTCACTGGAATAGAATCGCACAATATTTGTCCTTCTGTGTCCTTCACTTAGCTTAATGTTTCTAAGTCACCCACGTTGCAGGATGTATCAGAACTTCGTTCCTTTTCATGGGTGAATAATATTGTGTTGTATGGTTGGACCTCATTCTGTTTATCCATTTTGTCTGTTGATGGACACTTGGGTTGTTCCTGCCTTTTGGCTGTTGTGAACAGGTACACAGCTGTTAGAGGTGGGCAAGATGACCCCAGGCCATTTGTCTCCAGAGCAAGCCCACGGCCTCAACTCCTGTGAGCTGATACAGACTTTCCCATCCCAAGATAAAAAACAATCGTCCATAAGAGTTATCAAGGTAATTGTGGAAATGAAGAAAACACAAAATAAAGTGACGTGGACATGGTTCCAACTGAACTAACCAGGGGTCTTGGCAGTCCTGGAAATTGTTTGGGGTTATTTCAGATATGTTTCTAGGCTTGGCTGAGGGAGTGGGTGACTTCTGTCATGGTGCTGGAAGGGGACACGCCCTGGCTCTGTAAGATGACCGTGTGTCAGTGCTTGTGCTCAGAACTGGAGAATCTCCATCTATACCCACTCTGTCCAAACTCCAAACTCTAGCATGGCTTCTACCAGCATAAGGCTAGGATGACCCCAGCCCCTGTTAAAACGCCTGCCTGGGGATGTACTCAGTGCCGCCAGGAGGATTTACTATTTGTTCTAGCCAATACCTGATGCTAGGTCCCTGACCTCCCTCTCTTGGAGCATTTACTAAAAAGGGCTTATAACTGTGAATATATGTCTCTTACAACCCAGAAGTGTCTCTCATGGACCTGAGAGTCATTCTCTAGAAATGTACAAATCAGGAAGGACAAGACCTCTGTCTCCGTTCTCCGTGGGAGGATAGGCTCCTGACTTCCACACCTGCCAGCCAGCAGACACACCTGGTCTAATCGCCTCTTCACTGCCCAGCTCTTTGTGATTTTTCACTTTTCTGACTCTTCCAAGCTCCCTCCCTCGTTCTCCCTTGGAAACACCCAGTCGCCTCTGCACAGATCAGTTGGAGCTCAGCTGTTTCCCTGCTGTCAGTAGTTACAGAATAAAATCTCCTTCCACCACTTTAACTAACGTTGGCCTATGTATCTTTGGCAGCCCTGCCGCCCATTCCCCTGGTCACTGAGTGATAGCTAGTCCTAACAGTTATAACTGAGCTAGGCTCCCCTGGACAGGCCTGATGGGTTGGGGGCCTGCCCAGTGATAAAAGCCCATTGATGGATCCTATTCATCAAGGCAGCAGTTGATTTTAAGCATTAAGCCATTAATTTTCAGCAGGAGTTCTTGGTCTTACCTGGGGCCCTGGGAAAGAGGGAGACAAGATAGAAAATTCGCTCTGACATTTGGCAATGGTTGCAGCTACGATAATTAATTACAGAGCGTGCTGTGGCATTTTTTAGTTTCCTGTGTTTATCTCACCTCCCCAGCCAGGGGTACCTCTTACCTCTGAATCCCCACTGTTGCCCTTATTCAATCAACAAATGTTTAGGGGAGTGCAGGATTTTGTGAGCAGCCAGATGACGCTGAAGCCAGCTGGGGTAAGGGAGGCATTTATGACAGTAAATTGTGACAATGGTTCAGATAGCTCAGGTAGAAAATGGGTCGGCTGGGAGGTGGGTGTGTGTTTGTTGAGGGGTTGAGGGGAAGAGCAGGGGGCAAAATCAGATAGAAAATAAAGTCCCACCCCCAGTCCTAAGTATGCTGGGCTCCTGGGGGTGTGATGAACACAAAGCTGTTAGATGTTTGGTGGCTGAACTCCTTGGCTGTACCTGGAGAAAGGCCCGGGCGTGCAGAGACACTAGACCAGGGCCTTTAACCTCCTTAGACCCACGTTGCTGTTAGAGTCCAGTGAGGGCCATGGACACCCACACCCACACCCTATTCTGCTGGAAGGGTCCCAGCTTCGTGGATCCCCACAGCTGGCATCCTACAGACCTCAGGAGGAGACCCTGAGGTAGTGACCAAGGCCCCTGCAGAGTCTTCAGCCAGTTCCTCTGACAAATCTGGAATCAGGGCAGTTTGATTTCGCTGGAAGATGAACAGCTCCTCTTCCTCACAGTCTGACTGTGGACAAATGAGAGGGCTGTGGATTATACAGCAGCAGGCAGGCAGGAGGTCCTCAGCTTCCACCTGCCCTAACCCTGCCCCACCCCATCCAGCCCTGCTGCTCTCTGGGGAGCTGTCTGTGGAGATCAGTTCTCTCCCAAAGGGCCTTGCCATGGTGGTCCCTGTTGCTGACTTAGAAGTGGGCTTGCAGCACCACCTGGTGGAGGTGAAATCCAGGACTCCTGGTTCTACAAGTACCTGCCACCCCTAAGACCTTGCATACAGCAGATGCTCAATTCACGCCTGGAACTGAATGAACAGGGCAGTGAGGTGGCAGCTGAAAGAGCAGAGTGTGGTCCTCCACTCCTCTGTGACAGGGAGCCATGGTACTTCACTTACGTGACACTGACCTGATAAGTGCTAAAGTTGTTCTTGGTCAGCATCATGTTTGTCATGGGAGGAAAGTGCACTGGGGGGTCCAGGAAGATGTCAGAAGAAAGCACTTGCTTACCAAGGAGGAATCCGAGTCCAGGGTTGGGAGCTGCTCCCTGACGGCCTCCATGATGGCGTCCCAGGGAGAGGACAGTGGCAGCCCCACATCTTTGTCTTGGGATGTCATGGGGGTTGGGACTCAAGGGATGCTTCTCAGCGCACCATCATCCAAGGAGCCTTGCAGAGGATATGGAATGAGTGGGGCTCCCCTCACTCAAGAACTCAGGGGGCTGCCTTTTCAAAGCATATACCACCCCTTGGGGAATGAAAACAAATTGGCAGATCTTCCATTCCATTTTCCTTCTGGTCTGCAGGTTCCTGTTACTGAGTGCCAGAAAGTGCCATGCATTTTGTGTGTGTGTGTGTGTAGTGCAGTATGGAGCCTGCAGATGTATGTATATAATGTATACAGTGATATATTAATATATAGATGCATGTACTGATATATAATGATATATGTACTTGATATGTAGGTATATATATATGATACATAGAATGATACACATATATGATATATACAGATACCTGCAAACTGTATATATATATCCCATATAACATAGATACTATTATTATCTACATTTTATAGGCTCAAAGAGGTTATACCATTAGTAAAGGCAAAGACAGAATTTGTATCAAAGTCAGAGGGGATTTCAAGCCCGACTACCCTTTACTGCCCCCTTACAAAAGGAAAAGACTAGAGATGTTTTGGAGTCCCCAGGAAACTTTTTTGGTGTTAACACTCAAATTAACCCCTTATACCCAGGCACTTAACCAACACCCCCCACCTTTAATCCCAGAGTCTAACAGGAGAAAGGCCAGTCCCTCAGGGGTCAAGGGGGCTTAGAAATGTGGGGTGATGGTGCTTCAGAGCCAGCATTCAGAGTACTTGTAGCCTGAGAGGACTCTGTAACTATAAAATGAGAAAAGAACACTCCTACCCCAGCCTGACCCCTACCAGGGAAGCAGCAGGAGAAGTGAGTGGGGGTTTCTTGTTTTTTCTGTGCTTACAGGAGCATGGGCAGGAGCTTGGTTCACCATGGCCTGGGAACGGCATGATGTGGACACATCTGGTATATATATCAGGGGTGTTCTCTGGCTGCAGGGCAGATCAGAGGGCAACAAAATCACTTGGATGAAGTGGACTGCCAGAGACTGATAAATTCTTCAGGAGGACAATGCAATAAGGGAGGAAAAGGCTTTACAGGCTGCGGGAAGATCATCTAAGAACTCAGAGGAGTGAAAATTGCCCAATATGTTTGGAGAAGATTTCAGTTGTTGGAATATGCGGTGCCAACGAACCAGGCCGTGAAGGGTCCTCAGGAGCTCCTTCACCCAGCAGACAAGGGGTACATCCTGCCAGGTTGAGGAGCTCCTCTCACCCAGCCAAAGGGCAGCTCCAGTCCCTCCGAATCCTGACTCCGCCTCCACGTCCGTTTCTGGGCTGCAGCCCGTTAGCCCCGCCCTGGTCCCGCCTACCGCCGGGTTGTTATAACAACTAGACGCCAACTTCCTCCCGGGTCAGGCTTTTAATTCTAAAGCTCGGAAACACGAAAGCTCATCGCAAGTCCTCCCACCGACCCCCCAGCCCCTGTTTCTCTGCTACCCCGTCCAACTCCCAACGTTTATCTCTACAGCTGCGGCAGGCCCGAGGCCACTCACCTCCGGTCTCAGCCTCCCGTCCCCGCGCGGTCCCGACAGGGCTATAAACAGCCTCCGCAATTACTGAGGCTGTTGCCGCCTTCGGATCCCCGCTCAGCAGACTCTTATGTTACTGAACTGCCAACTGCTTTCCACCACCGCTCCCCCTGCTCCTCTTTCGGGACTTGGCGCGTCCTGCCTCTCCTGAAGCAGGACTGGTTCTCTGGCCAGTGGAGGGGCGGGGCAGGGTGAATTCTCCCTGCTCATTGGCTGCCGCGGACGTCACACAGCGAGCCGGGAGAGCTGACCGGAAGGTCCGGGTGCGGGACAAACTAATTCCACAGCGCCGGGAGCAACCCCGGGGACCTGCGAGCGTCCCGGCGTGCTCCGCGCCTCCCACAACCACTTCCGGGGCGGGAGCGGGGCCGTGGGGTCGCGCGCTGTGGCGACGGCCCGCGCGGAGGGAGC